TTATGTAACACAAGCCGTTCTCAGCAAAAGGTGAGTTGCTTATCGTCAGCACACAACATATTCAGAAGAGGAGGGGAAGGACAAGTTTCTTAATTTGTCAGCCATTGCAGGTGCTTTTTTAATCTCCATTTCTTGGCAGAGATTAAAGGTTAGCAGATCTAAGGGGAAGCTCTGGGCCATTATTAAAGGCCTCTCATCTCTTTTTGTGTGCACTGGTCATTTTGAATTTCGCTATTTTTAACCCACCCCCCCCCTACATCTCTGTCGCTCCTGTCTCGCTCGATAAAAAACCCTGAAGTTCTGACCACTCCACTCACAGCAAGTCTTGTGTTAGTCTCCCTAGTTTAATTCATTATTTTCCTTTAAATGGAAATGAAGTTAATTCACCACCTGAGGTCTGATCGGGAAGAAAACTGGTCCTTCTTTTCCCTGTTAAGAAAATATTTATGCATATTTAAAATGCATGTGTCAAACTGATACAGAACATAAATGTCTATGAGATTATTTTTTCCTATTTCATGGAAAATGGGAATTTTTTTATTTACATAGTTTTCCCCTCACGCTCTGTTTAAGGAACTTTGAAAGTAGCCCCTTTTTTGGGATTTGGTTGGCGGGGGGGTGGGGGGGTGGTTTAGAAGAATACAGACTCAGGCGGATAGTGAACAGCTGGGAGAAAACAGGAATTTACCCCAATCTGGTCCTGCCCAGACGCTGGTTAGTGCCTAAAGCCCATTCAGCATTGGGCAGCTTTGCATTAAACAGTGTTGCTTCTGCATGACTGGGTGCCAATGCCTGCCTCTCTCTGCCCCTCGTGGCCCTGACCCGTCCTCACCCCGAGCAGCCACCCACACTGGGAAAGCACAGCCGCTGATTAACACCCTACCTGACTCTCCGAGGAGCTCCCATCATCCCCCAGGAGCTCGTTCCGCACCTCATCACTGTAGGCAATACGTGACCTTTTCTGCAATGGGAAGAGGTTGAGAGAGAGGGAAAAACAAGAGGGGCAAGGGGAGAAAGAGAGAAAAAACAAGCATTAGTTCACTTGACTTGAAAAATCCCACATTTCTAAAGCACGAGAGCCCCCTGTTGGATCAGCAAATAAAACAAAAATACTTACACTAGGTGATATACTGAAGCAAGTGAGCAAGTGTGTGCGTGCGTGTGTGTTATGGAAAGAGAGGAAGTGTGCTTGCGTGTATGTGTAATATAGTTCTAGTGTGGCTTGAGTGAACCGGAGCCCTTGGGTACAATAGCAAAAGCCCCCCTTTCACTTAAATAAATAAAAAGTGTAGAATGGTGGACCGTAGAACAAGACAGAGGCAGGGAGCGTCTTAGGAAAGTATCAGTTGTCAGAGGGAAATGTGTTCTGGGGGCTGTCACTGCTGTCAGTCCTGTTCTCTGGCAGACCCTGTGATAATACCAAGCCAGGGAGCTAGACAGAGAATAATTCATCACCCAGGTCGACACGATTGGTGTGCCATCAGATTTGGGCTCGTTCCTCCGTCTCTCCTCCGCTACGCAGTTGGGAAAAAGAATACCGTGTCCAAAAAAGAAAACACACACACACACACACACCCAACACTTCAGAGCGTGCCACCTCCGATTCAGTGAGCGCAGAAGCCGAGTATGGCATGTTTACAAACACACCCGACCTCTTCAAATACCCTCCAAACTAAACATACACTGGTGGTGCGGAGGGGGAAAAAACACACTGTGATAACGTTTACCAAGAGCCCTTTGCTTCCCTCTGTTCGCTCTTCCTGCAGGCTGGCAGTCTTCGGGAGGATGAGAGCAGGGAAAGGTGCAGGCGAGCCACGGGAAAACTAAACAGCAAAATAACTGCTATCCAAGAACTGCACTTTGTGATGCAATGCTGTGTCACAATTGCTCGCAGAGGATGCAGCCAAATCCAGGAGGATAGGACATGAAAATATGTTAAAAATAAAAAGTAGAGTTTGTTCAGCGAGTTTTATCAGTCTACAATTTATGATCAATTTAACATCTAAAAATGTGTAGCAATGAATTTGCGCCATGCTAAATGTTTAGAAATATATCTATCTATCTATCTAATGCACACACTCTCGTCTTCAAACCCTATTTTTGTTTCATTCTTCTTCTTCTAAATAGCTGTTTGTTGTAGCTGAGAGCATCAACCACTTTCACGATGTAACCTTTGAGTGCATCTTGCACAAAAAGAATGGCAAATGCAGCCTTAAGTCTTCGAAGGGGAAAACTAGTCATAGAAACAAAGCGAGACGCCTCTCCCAGCCCGTTTACACCATTTTGCAACTCCCCCTGCAGTAAAACAAGACTCACACTGATTATTCTCCCCTTCATCTGCTGCTATAGCACAGCAGCTGGGCAATATTGACTGCTTAACCCTAGGAAATACTTTGATTGGTACTTTGCATTAGATCGGAGCCGAGTTATAGGTTATTAGAATTATTTATTTTCCTACTTACTTATCTCCTATTTGCCATGCATTAATAAAGTGGTGCTATTTATTTAGATCATTGGGGTATTGCATATTTAATCACGACCCAGAATGACCTAAAATCAATTGGAATGATATGAAAGTTTTAAAAAATACTAAGTTCTCACTTTTCAAAAAATAAAAAAAGAAGAAATAATCAATGGATTTTAAAGTTCCTACATATTGCATAGTTCATCTGGAGCACTCAAATATAAAACCTGCACTAAAACATAAAAACCCAGAGAGAAGGCTTTGTAATTGTAAGAATGAAAATACCTTATTGCAACAGACAAAAAAAGTGAAATATTTTTTTAATCTGTTTGAAAGGTCTTTCCCTTGTCACTTGTTTTAATCTTGGGTGAGAATTTGCTTCTATTCCCGGAAGCATAGGGAGAAAGTACAAAGAACCGTCTTAACTTTATGCAAAGTGGTCTGACTGCCTTTTAAAACAGACATGTCTCATCAAACCAGAAATGAGGGTTTTTGTGTCCTGTCAAAAATGTGTGTTGTACGTCTGTTGACGTGATGTACAATGCAAAAAAAAAACAAAAAAAAACTGTTCAACCAAATCCTAATAGCATATGCATCGTGCAAGCTAAATATTTATATCAGCTAGAAAAATTACCTTGTATTGTCCGTGTACTGAAAATCATATGAACAAAACTGCAGCAGATATAGAAAAACAATTAAAAACATCTTATTTAAAACAACCAAAAAAACCTATGTGGTTTCTGTTGTAACAATACGATTAATTAAAAGGATTAAAACCAGTATAAGAAAAAAAACTAACCTTTAGTTCTAAGGGCAGGAAAAATATATAAAAATGTAAAAATGTTAGAAATAATTACCACAAAAATGTCTTATTATAAATCAACTGCTATCTCTTATTGTTCATCATTATTATTGCATTATTATTATTATTTTTTTAACACATTGCACACTGACAGCAAACGGCAACACAAGGACACAAATAATAATGAAACCTGAACTGCAGCAAAAGTAAACAGTTCATTAGATAGGCATTAAAAGGCATAAAAATACCCAGGGGCAGAGTTTAATGAGAGGCCCTGAAGTGACACTGAAAAAGCTTTTTCCTCCACTTTTCCACTCGGAAACCACACGGCTGGTGGCAAACCGTGAAGAGTAATTAATTATATTTAATTTATAAAGTGTGTTTCATTAAGTATTTCTCACCAGTGGGAAAATGTCTGGCCAGTTCTGATTTCGAGTTAATGGGACTTTAGTCAAACACAATGTGGCTGCCTCAAATTGCCATTTAACCTTTTCTTTCTGCAGCTAATAATCTGCTGAAAATGTTTAAGGGGAATTCACAATTCAAGTGTGGGGGGGGTTCAGCAAGGAAAAAAAATTATTCACATCATATTGCTGATTGGTGGAACAAAAAATAAAATCTAGAAAGCAAATGAGAAAAAGACTATGGCTAACAATGAATGGCATTAAATATAAAGAAATGTGATTGTTATTAGGGCATTGTGTGCATGCATCTTGTGTGTTTTGTGATGTTAAGCTGTGTTTAGCAACAGTGGACAAAGCGTCATGTGTTTTTTTTTCTGAGTGCATCTGGTCTAGAGTAAAGTGCTGTAGTGGTTGAAGAAAGCAAAGACCTTTTCAAGCAGGCTCCAGTATCACAACAGTCTTAAATAATGCATCTCATCCTAGCAGGGGTCTAACACCATCCGCAAGCAGAAAGAATACTACTCACACATGCACAGGAAGCTTTACATCCACCCGCACACACATAATGCTGCTATTCTCTTTTAACATCTAGAAAATAAATTGTAGGAGGTTGTGCACTTGTTTTGTTTTTTTGTGTGTGCGCTTGATACGATATCAGATAAAGGCACAAAGTAATGATGGTCGCAGGAGGGTCTTTGTGTGATTTGTTCTTTAGTCTTTGGTAATATCAAATCTGTCATATGGGTGATAGATGGACAGATGTGTGTGGTTTAGTGTGCGTCGGTGTGACATTTACGTTAGTCACTTGCGGTAAAAATCGCAGGAGCTGTACACAGCACATGGACTGATATCAGCATGGTGTCTCTCAGCACACAGGTTACTGGTGTGTGCCTTTAATTCACGAAGCATTGTGTACTAAAAAAACAAAGCATGAAGAAAAAAAAAATCAGGAACAAATGGAGGCCACAGAGATTAAAATTACATGAAATGCAATTGTGATATATCAATGTAGAGTGGAATATTGCTCTTTGTGCTTAAATTAAAAAATATATATATCATTTATAATATTTTTATAAAAAACACAATTCTGATATAATTTTAATAATTATATCATATTAGCGAAAATAATTAAATGACAAATCGCTGTAGCTAAATTCTATCAACAATTGTTGTAGATTACCATATCAAATGATTTTATTAATGTTATAAAAGTAATTTTTATAAATATATATTCGTTTTATATTTCCAATTTATTCCAATTAAAAAAATTACAATTTAATTTAAATGCTATTTTATGTTATCCTGAATGCAGTTATGGAACAGTTTTCATTATCGTTTTATAATTAAAGTAATATTTTTTTCATAAATAATCTAATAGGTCCAAATATTATAAAAAATATATATATAATAAAACAAAAGTTATGAAAATTACTGTCCATAAAATAAAGATAAAACTCTGTAATTATTAAGAAACATCATACATAAAATTATTTTAAAAAGAAGGTTGAGGGGTAAAAATTTTTTATAATTTTAAATTTAAAAAATGATGCCAAAAAAAAAAAAAAGTCAGAAAAAAAGTTTCTAAATAATAGAAATAATAGAACTAAACAATCCAGCCATGGATATTTCTGTCAATGTCATGTTCGAAACACAAAGAGCAGTCAATAAACCTAACGACTCTGCCCACATACAGAGAGCGAGGGAAAAACGATTGCAAGTGAACTCCCAACAAAAGAGCAAATTCAAGCAGCTTTGATTGAAGAAACGGCATATACTTCTTGAAGGCCGGGGAGTCGCTGTGAATGGTTATTTCTTTAAGGCATAAGCGCCGATTAAACCCAATATTAAAATATGGAAGCAGTTCTAATGAAAAATCAAAGCCCGTTTCTCTGGCTGCCGAGCTTTTTCTCACATTAATGCTGGGTTGGGAGCGGGGCCGGTGCGGGCACTGGTAGAGCAGACCCCGGCTAGGCAAGAGTGGAGAAATCAATAGAGAAGAGCCGGTGGGGAGGGAGACTGCCGGAGCTGGCAGGGCCGGGCCGGCTCCCATCACAGCACTCTCCTCTGGCGTGCAGTGGGGAATGAAACGGGCCTCCCTGGGTCAGCACCAGAGAAAAGGTGAGATTAGAGGAAATGGAGGAGGGATTTCTGAGGCACAAGATACCTGGCGAGCCAGGGACCAATCGCCCATTAGCCTGTGGCTACCTACATATGGTTCACTGAACCCTGCACAGAAAATAACTTCTTCTTTTTTTCTTGTCTTTCTTCACCTCCCCCGATCCGTCTTTCTC